ACTTGCAAGCTGCACAGATCACGGTTGCTAATTGACCTCGCCAGCACTTGCAAAGAATATGGCACTTGATGTTTGGTGGACCTCATATACAAAGGACAAGCAGGCAGGCGTTCAATTAGGCGCTTGCCCCTCCAGGCGGCTCTCTGGCTGCGAGCACTTTACAACCCCCAAAGATTACACAGTCGTTACGAGAAGGATGTTCAAAGATCTTCCCACAACTTCGTCCCCGCCTGATGTCGAAGATTTGCATCAGGCGCACCTCGCACGTCATCCATTTCGGTTTCATACAGATGTGCATCTCAGCATGAAAACTGCTTGGGGTCTGCACCACTGCGCCCAGCAGGAGGAAAAGCGACAGCACCACAATCTCGGTACTTGGAGCTTCGGGGGGCAGTCTAAGAAAGTAAGAAATGATGGTCAAATCACTGTCACAGGTGCTCATCCTCAAGATTTGTGTAAGAAGCTCCTACTAGTCCTACATTGGAAGTTCCATGGCTACCACGAACCCAATCCTTGCAGCCGCCATTACCAATAATCTGCCACATCATGATATTTCTCACGAGCAGGAGGTGGAGGATGCACATGAATACCTGTCTGAGCCAGTGCTTGCAACCACTGACACGGACTCTATAAGCGAGACTTTCTGAGGTATATGCCAGATCGGGATAGGGCTCATAATGCAGGACGCAACCAGGAAAAAAGGCGTGATGTTGAAGCTCTCACATCTGCCAAGAAGCAATCCCCACGTATGAGGAGATGTCTGGCCGATTAAAATACATCAGCTCGCCCACGGTCTCCAACTCCGGGTTTACCTTAATGGCAGGTGAGCTGGGGACTTTGGGGAAAGGGATTGAACAGGCATGACAGGTTCAGCTCTCAACAAATATTTCAGGAGTGTTTGTAAAACTCCTACCTGCTGGTGCTCAGCCCTGCAGAGGACGTGACAACGTGAACCCTTCTACAAGCACGCTCATGCCGTCAATCATCCTGCGCTGAAAGTAACCTCTGGGACCCAGGAGTCAGGTAAGATACTACATTACCCATAACGCTTTTTGCAATCGACCCTGCAGTAACGAAGTACAAGTGGTTCTCAAGCCCTTGGCACGCCAGGGTCCCTACAAGCAGAGCCGGCTGCTGTTGCTGCGTATGATAAACAATCTAAGCATCGCAGCTGAGGAAAAAACAAAGGAAAAATGCGACCATAAGCCCTTGGAGCTAGCAGCTCCCTCATGAACCCTCCCCATTTCATTCAGACGCAAGCGCGCAAGTCCGAAGTCGTGACGAAAACCGAAAACAAGCAGTGCTCATCAACTTTCCACATTTATGCACTGTACCCTGAAGTCCCGTCCCTTTTGAGTAGTTAGGTTCAGTATGGAACCCAGCACCCTGTCCTGGAGGGAATGCCCTAAGTCCGCGTCTGCCAAATGGCCAAAGCGGAAAAGGCATTTCCCACACAGAACTAGGCGGAATCGACTCCACCCGGCGGACCGGGGGAGTTGGAAGAATTCCTGAAAACAAGGGTGTATAAATATTACTACACTACAAGTCCCCCTAAGATTGTTCAGAGAATCATCTCCCCAAATCTCAACTCGCAAGGGATGTCCTCCTAAGACTCTTCAGAGAATCAGGTCCCGAAATCTCAAATCGCAAGAGGTGTGCCCCAAGATTCTTGAGATAATCAAATCCTCAAATCTCAAATCTCAAGAAACTCAAGCCCTGAACCCGAAGCCCTGAAGCCTGAAAGCCCGAAAGCCCCGCAGAAGGCCCAGACTGTGAAGAGGCATGGCCAGGAGCCCATGGGGCATCTGCAAAAGGAAACTCTGTGGATGATTCTTGGGGTCCAGAGGCTGAGGTTGCAGGAGTTCGGGCTTAGGGATCCAAGGTTTTATGTTTGAAGGTTCTGGGGTGTGATTGACTTGCACGGTAAGCGTCCCAAGCAAGACGCCCAGTTTGCTCCAACTTGGGTTCTAACTTAGGTAGTATCGTCCTGTAGGACTGTCCAGACTGGGCTCACATCTCGTGAGAGCAATCTAGGGTCGCGTGCCACAACAGCTCGAAAGGACAACCGTCCACATGAAATCAAACAAGATCCTGCCCCTACCCAGGCCTCAACGACCGTACACACTGATCCCAACAGCCTAAACCCCAGATTCTCAGCCCCTCAAACCTCTACCGCGGCCCCAATTCCTGCAGCCTTTCCCCGCGCCAGTCGCTGCGGCCCATCAATCCGAAGGCATCACAAAAGGTCCTTGCTGCTCTTTTGCTAGGGCGGCGACCCATTCTCAATATCAGGGTGAAAGGATTCGTCAAGTATTTGTTTCACAGAACAACTTATCAGTTTAGGGTGCGGCTCGATGCCTCTATGCAATGAGAGGAAAAGTAACAATACACCCCATTGCGAACCTGCTGTCGGATGACAGGCTAGAACGGGCGTCATGCATTGGCTGATACGCCATTATGCCCAACCGGAATCCAATCATCCCTTTTAACTGTAAGAAAGCAACTCTTGGGCTTCTGGTCACAGTCACAGCCCAATTCAAGCTCAGTGCTTAGATCTCTTGCGCGCAGTCAAGGTCCGGACTCTGCTGATTTCCTCAGCAAACTCTCACACATCAAGGGATCTGTTGCAGAGCCTCTCCGGTCTCTTAAGACTTCTGCAAGTCAGGACGTGCTTAGAGACACCCCAAAGTATTGCGCTGTCACTGTTGTGACACGATTTTGTGGGGCTGCATACCTCCAGCAAAGATACAGGCGCGTGTAACTCAACACACTTCCCGACACAATTTTGAGGAACGCCCAAAGAAGACACATTGAAAAGCTCTAAGGTCTTAGGCCATGGTTTAGGGTTCCGAGGATTCTGTCTTTAGGGTTCATGCCTTCAAGGTTTACGTAGGGGTTCAGGTGTTGAGTTCAGGGTTAGAAGCTTGGTCACAGAGGCTACTAGCTCACCGCAGCATGGATTCTGTACACCGCAACTTCTTGATGAGTAAAACCACAAGAAACTACAAGATTCCTTGATTCCTCAAGCAAACAAAATGAATAATTCCACCCGCCATGCCGTATTATCTAATGGAGGTAGAATACTGCATCTGCCTGATACGCACTATTAGCTTCTGAGCTGCACATTGGGAGTAGTATCTTCAGCGGATACTTCACTCCCTAATGCGTGTTCACTACCTCCTTCATCTGCCTGTTACTGCAACTCTTGGCTATCACATCAACTGTAAGCTCATCTAAAGCTATAAACCCCAACCCAGAACAGAAGCAACAAACTGCACATTCTACACCCTAAACCTTTTACAGAAGAGCCTTCAGCCAGGATAAGCTCTGGGCTGCGCGACGCCACCGGACACCAGATCGCAACAGTCACCGACTTGGCCCTGGCCGTCTACAGTGGTCGCTCTTGGTGGTTCATGCCGGTCATGGGGTATAGATGGTATAGTCAAGCCTCAAGGCCGGAACAAGCTGAAAGTGATCTGCGCATAAGCCTTTTCTGTCTCAGGCCTACAAAAGTTAGAGGTTCTCCGAAAATGAAGCTGAACCCTCTTGTTGGGCAGCTAGGTTGAAAAACCTGTGTCCTTAGTCAGAGCGTGCCCGGAGAGGTGGAAGAAAACTGAACCCCAAAATCTGCAAAGTCTTTGAATTCAGGGTCACGGTCCTGGGAGAAATCTTGAACCTTGGGTTTGCTCGTAGAAACAGAACTGAAGGTTCATGCATCTCAGAATTGTAGGTCTATGAGAACAGCGGCATGGGGATCCCATTCTCCCAAACAGTATTGACTGTTCTGCACTGGTACATGTAGACTGTTAGACACACGCCAGGAACGTGTGTCCCTGGCGGTGAACCCACCGCTCCGCAGAAGCATTTCTAGGGTCATGGCCAGGCCGTTGTTGCAGCATCTGAAGGGATCTCCTTCACGATGCAGGCGAATGCATCGAACACTTCAGCTGCCACGGTTGCTGCCAGCATGCAACAGTCTTAGCATGACTTATGTTACTAGCGCTAAGTGACTATCAATAAGGTTTGGCCCCTCCTTCGTAGCGGGTCAGCTCACCACGGGCACCCACGTGGGCCTTAGCAAAGCATCCATTCGTCATCGCGCTGTATCAGTTCACTCAGCCGCGTGCAATCGGCAAAGTCCAAGGATTCTTTGACATAAACCTCAGGACCAAACATATTCTCTCGATTGATAGGTTGGCTTCCAACTGTCGGTGCTCAACAGATCTTCTGAGCGTGTGGCATGGTGCCACTGCGAACTGCAACCTCAACCAAAGGCCGGCACATGCCGGCAAAATACTTGGTGGCTTATACAAGATACCGGTCACCCTAGGTTATTATCATGGGGTGCACAGATATGTATATATATATATGTATGCATATAGGAACGATACAGGTTTGAGGCTGCAGCAAGGCAAAAGGGAATGGAAGCTTCTATATCCTTGAGGAATGTATAGCGCAATGATGTTGTAGTTTCCAGTTTGTTGTCCATTCCCGTTTCCCTTCGCTCCTACATTCTTTGCTTGTGGGTCTGTCCCCCCAAGGCCAGTCCCTGCCTCCACGTAGCACTTGCCCATGTTCTGACAGGGAATAGAGAATCAAATGGCGAAGAACGTGGAAAATGACATGGAAGCTACTGTTTAGGGTTTAGGTTGGATATGGCCGCCACAATGGAGAATCACATGGAAAAAGACATGGAGTACGAAGTGATAACTTCGCTTATGAAGGGGGACATGGGGATTATGATCTGACAGAGAGATCCACACATTGAACAACGAAAGCAATAGGGTTTGGGGTTCAACTGCTGTAGCGGTTTCGGATCTCTAGGCTCAGCATGGCAGGTAGATAAGATTTCCGCCCAGCAATGATGGCAAACGCTTTCATGATGTCCTTTAGAACTACAAAGTATATAGAAGAACCTTGGGTGCAGGAAGTTGAAGCAAGAGCAGACTTTCATGGAAGGCACTCACAAGCAGCTCCAAGCTTACAACTCCACGCTTTTCCCCGGTCAACAAGCGGCGCGTCAGGAAGGACTTCACCGTCTCTCCCCATGCCTCACAGAATGGTCATCACAGCAGTCGTGAAGACTTAGTGGTCGTAATAGTCGTCTTATTGGTACCAGCACGACCGCTAGCCTTACTACTTGCACTACAGATTCTTCTTCTTCTGCTACTACTAGTCCTACTCCTACGCCTACTCCTCCTCGTCCTCGACTGCTACTACTGAAAAACCACTACTCCGCATGCTAGTGCTTTTACTTGCACAAGCACAAGTGGCACTAGTAGATCATGTACAAGCAGAAGTGGTAACCGCATCACCATAAGCATTATTTTTGTGGAAAGGAATCCAGCCAAACATCGTTAACCTGGGCTTCTGCTTCTGCATTGGATCACACGCCTCCGGATGTTCCTGCTTGATTTGCTGGATCTCGGCCTTGATGGTCGCTCTCTCCTGAATATTGAGGGTCGGTCTCAGCTTATGTCTGCCGTGATCCTAGGTCCTAGGCTTGAACGGCTCCTCCTCTTCAAGGGCCTCCCACTGTATTCGCTGCGCCTCAAAGGCCTCAGGTAGGGAAACTGAACGCATCAATAGAATGTCTAGGTCCTGTCATCTGAACAGATCTTGACCGCAACTTGTTGCGTACAATGCTTTGCTGTAAAAAAATGCACACCAGGATAATATGCGCAGAGGGTGTCTTACACCTTGTGTTCAATGCTAGACGCATTAGCATACCGTCAAACATGCGCAAAGTGCCAATACATTGTACACGCGCAACACAACTGGAGAGAAGATGATGCATGAAGTAGACACCCCCATGGAGGCACACAGCATGGACGGACTGGATATCTTGTAAGGGCCACTGGGCCACTGAAATAATGAAGGCCACCGATATGTCGGTGTATATTGCGAAAAAAAACGCGTAGAGTATGACAGTGTATACATTTACACTGCACGCATTTTATGAGCCTGGGAGTTTCCGTCGTGCGCGTGGCCCGTAAGATACACAACAGCATTGGGACTCTTGCCGTATGGCTCCAGAACACACACGGAGACCCACGAGGGCCCTACGGCCAAAAGCATCGTAAGATATCAAAGCAAGCGCTGAACCCTGCCTGCCAAGCGTTGCGATCCGCCTGCTGCCACTGAGCCTTCCTGGCTCGCGCCAGCTTCTTTTTCAATTGCTTGGAGCTAGACGGCCGTGGTGTTGCACAGACTTCCAACCTGTAGTTCGGTAGCAAGGGCAGTCATGGTAGTGGTAGCGTATGGAATAAGCAGCGACAAAATGTGGTGGTTTTGTTGTTTGTGGTGGCGGCAGCTGCAGCAACTGTGGTGGTGGGGGTGGCGGGAAGGGGGGAAGGGCGGTGATGCTGGCAGTGGTGGTCGTGGCAGAAGTGATGGTGGCAGTTGCTTAGCAGTGGTTGCAGCAGCAGCAGCAGCAGCAGCAGCACAAGAAGTGCAGTCAGAACGTTGCCATTTATCATCTGAAAAATGCCAGCGTGTTGTCGTGGAGCCCTGAACCCTATTGCAACGACTTCTTTTGCTCCACTATCTATGGGCTCGAAGTAAAAGGCAAAAGTTCCTGAAGACACTCTGGCAACCAGGGGTGGAGCTTTGGCAGAGGGATCGTTCCGTCGGGGACAGCGACCTCGGAGGCAGCGGCAGCCAGTGCCTTGGACTTGATCACAATGAGTGATGGCGAGGAGGGCACGTTTAGTGACCTCAGGGGCCGTTTTTAAGACAGGCCGGCAAAGACTTGCACATCGCCTCTTCGTATGGGTCATGGGTCAGACATAAGGATAAGGCACCCTTGGGGATCCTAGGAATCCGATCATGAGCCCAGTTTGGCTGCGGACCTGAGAGAGTCTTCCAACAAAGCCAAGAAGAGGCAGACGTCGCTCGTCGTGCGGTCACCACCAATGTCCACGAACACCTTCTCAGACCATTCGGAGGATCTCAGAGATATGTGGACTTTTACTGTTGTGCACCTTATTAAGGACTGCCGGGTCGAGGTATTTGTTGACCTGTATGGCTTTCAGGCGTTATGACCCAAACTAAGATTATCCTGCCTAGGGCTTCTCAGTACCCAAGCAAGTAGGGCACACGGTACCACATTATGGGTCCAATAGTTTATGGATCTCCTGGGGAGCTGCCTTGAGGCTACCGCCGCTGCTGATGTCCAACAGCCTTACAGGCGGGTTTGGGGCATGGGGATTAGGTGTTCGTAATTTAGTTCAGGATGGTTCAGGAGTTGGGGACTACTATCACCATCTCTCGTAACTTGCGCTAAGCTGGACATGATATGACCAGCAGTTCGTATGTAATCCTAATGCCTTAACGCTGGACCCCTAGACTCCGTGAAACCCAAGAAGTTCACCAAAGCAAGCAGCTCTTTGCACAAGGCTGTCAGCCGCACTTGCTCTTGGAAGCAGTCTAACCTGGATCATTGTTGGGGTAGCACCATAGGTTTGAACTTGTATTTGCAGTTGGGAGGTTCGTACAGCACTGAACCCCTAAGCTCATACCTAACAGAGACCTAGTAGGGAACTTTAAAAAAGCAAGACTCAAAGCAACCCAGGGATACATGGGGAGAAATTTGGGGAAATGTAGAGGCGGGGATATGTAAGTATTGCTTCCACAAGACTCCCGCCAAGAAACCATTCAAAACGGCACCCAGGGTAGCGCCGCTGGCTCTCCTCTTGTGTAGATTGAGGGATGCCTTTGCTTGCTGGTGGTCAGTAACAATTGATGGAGTGGAACTGTGTATGGTTCAGGGTGTGTAGCAGGGACTGAAGGAAAGGGGATGTAGAAGGACGACTATAAGGCTCCACCCTACTATCCACAAGTAATCGTAAGGATTTAGCAGCGGCTGTAGTTCAATGTCGAGGCTTGTTGGGGTCTATGAGGTTTCATCGGTACACAGTATACTTGAAGGGTCGTCTCGAGTCGTCTTCATTGAGCCCCATGTCTCGGGATCTGTTTGCTTTTTTTAACAGCACTAGCAGTTGGTGAAGCCAGCAACAACAAAATCTGGCCAGGGTCTGTTCCACAATCAATTCCGCGGGGACTCTCAGAGTATTGGGTTAAGGCGGGGTCATATACTGCCTGAGCGTCTGTGCAAGGCCATGTGCGTGAGATTCTCTGAGAAGGGATTCTAGGGAAAAAGTCTTACCTCACCTTGGCAGAGGCCACAAACGCCATTCTAAGAGAACGCAATTATCATCATCATCATCATCAGCATCATCAGCAGCAGCACTTCCCCAGTGAGGATGACGCTGCCTGTCCTCCACAAGCTCCTGGCTAACATCGATGCCAATGACGGCTTTGGCATGCGAAGACAGGATGTGTGTGCACTCCTTAGTCTGGCTTGCAGTTGGCAGGAATTGAAGAGATGTGGGCAAGATTGATATCAGTACAAATTACATATCGACTGCTGTTGCTCTGCTGCTGTTCATGTTTTCCTACCGACCAGTAGCCTAAACCAAAAGACCCCGCATATGGCTTTTGCCGACTTTGAACAAACAGGCTTTTTGGGCTTCATACGCAGGCTTTTGATTCTCGACAAGATGGAGCCACTTTTTGCCCTCAAAGAGCGACCTGGGCTTTTGCATCCAGACATTACCCGAACAACCCCTCCAACGAGACCCCACGGCAAGACGTTGCCTTCGCAGGCTTCGGAGATATCGCACCGACGACTTATCGGCTTTTAGAAGCGCAAGCCGCCTTTAGCCCACAATCATCACAACAACTGTTAGTGAACCCATGCAGAGGAGATGGCCACCCTTCCTAAACTTTAAACAGCAGAAATCCTAGACCGCAGAAGGTCAAACTGCAAACCCTCAACTCTGACGAAGGCTCGCCCAACGAAGAACCAACTTCCAGAACTCCATCATCCTGTCCAAGGATAGGAGGTCAGGGAGTGTTTCTGGCAGAGGCTACATGTAACCCTTATTGGCAAGCCCTATCCAGGTAAAGCACCCTGGGACGCGAACGGAGCTTTGGCTAAATCCATGGCTACCACCCCATGCCGCCTGCCCAACTTGAGTTCGCGCAAGGCGTCGATAGCCCACTGTGTCATGGACAACCAGCACATGCCTGGGCATCCGTGGTATGGCCGCAAAAAACCCGTCACTCGTGAGGTTTAGCGCCACGGCAAGACAACAAAAAACCTGAGCAGATCGAGATGCATCGGCGGCACCACGCGAAGCAGGCGCCGGCGCGGAACGTAAATTTCCCGGTCCGCCAGCTGCAGGCAAACAGAATGGTCTGGCCTGGGCAGTCTGAGAACCGCAATGCTTGGATACACTGTCTAGGGAAAGATTGTATGTGTATACATATATATATACATGTTACCATCTTCTTGAATTGCAGGGCCAATTTAGTCGAGGGTACGGTGTACCCTTGTGGGGATCCCATTTTAGCGCTGCCGCATTTCATTTCTCAACTGGTTTCCACACCTCAAGGACTAATCCTGCGTGGCTCTGCCTTTAAAAGCCAAGAGGCTGCCCTACAGTGCGCCTCGCCAAGCCGGACACAAGCTCGTCATGGCGCAAATGTTGACACACACCTTGAGGATTGACAGGTTTTGGAGATCAGGCTGGGGCTTGGGTTGGTTTCGAGGACTGTTTCGCGGAGTGACCGGAGGCTGAGGAGCAGCAAGAGATCACGACCCCATGACAGTGGTGGGCATTGGAACCGGTGTCGATGTACACCACATCGCCTCGCACTGCGACGACAATGGTCGGAATGCATAGGTGCTCCTGTGTCCTAAACTAGTCACAGAAAGATGCCTTTGAGAAAATTTATGTCCGCTACGACCCTCCACGATCACCTGGGCCAAGCCGTGCATGCGCAGCGGCCCAGCCAGTAGAGAACTCCCCTCGCAAGTCCGTGGGCTTCTGCGCACACTGCCAGGCATGGCTCGTGAAGGGAAGCATTGAGTCGAAACTAGAGGTTGGCTGGGCTGTGACCGCTCTTGTGATTGCAACTTTACCATGTTTTACAGCTTCGTCGGAGCCAAGACAAACAGAGAGTGGTAGCTGGCAAAGGCTGGCTATGTCTGAAGTAAAGAATTCCACAAATGCTATGGAGATGCCCTCCTGGACGCAGGTCTGGTTGTGAAAGAGCGTGATGCTGCAAATTCCAACCTGCCACGGGATGACTGTCCGACTTCTACAGCACCATGGTAGCAGGCCTCCCACCCTTGACTTGCCCCAGTGACCTCCAGCACCTCAGTCAAAATGGAACCCTCATTGCAGAGTAGTCAGGTGGAAAGGCAACGTGAGTGCCAGGCAATAACTGCCACCAAGAGCATGATGACAAGAAAAATCACGCCTACAGAACACTGGCCACTGTTGCCAAGATTCGCAGACAGCTACACGCTGGAGGCCTCCAGCAGCATAGAAGTACCGGGCGGACCCACGCTTGGGAGGTCTGACATCGGGAGCCTGCAGCAACGCCAGTGCTGCTTTGCCCATTCCTGTGGGGTTTTCAAGTTTCAGTGAAGATCTTTATCACACGCTAGCTTGCAACTTGAACAAAACCCTTCTGGTATGAAATGGGCATGGGACATACTGGAGGCGTTTTGCTCTTTGGATTCTTAGCGGGACAATCATTGGACGTACAAGATAATTCATGGCCAGAGGAACAATCACCCAGAATCATGCACAAACATGATGAGGTCATAAAAGGAGCCAGAACCTGGACGAGTACGATCGCATCGCCAGGACATGGAAGTCGAAAACAGTGATCTGAAATCTGACCGTTCCGCTCAGTATGACTGCTGGAACTTGTCACAGACATGGAAACAGTGCAAGAGCGATGACAAGCATCACAGTGACCAGGATAGACCCCGACGTGAAAGATACCTGTGGCTCTTGGCGCTTTTGCCGGAGACCATGGGGCTGTTGTGGGGTGATGACCATGTGGGCACCGGCAGATGGGTAGATTTCATGAGGATCCCGACCTCAAGGGCCAATTCCATCAGCTCTTCTGCATGGCTGGCTTGTACGATGGAGCAGCCTGCTTGCCTCGGGATGGCAAAAGGCTTGCATAGGGATGATGCCGAAATGTGCGGAATGCATCTACGGGCTATGGAAGTGGTCAACGAGAGTTACATTGGGATTGCACGGGAATTCTGGGCTATACGTCCGCCGAAAATTCGTCGCATGGTTGACGTACACTGTTCCTGCTACTGTAGCAACAGAGTCCGCAAAAAAGGCACTCTGGCCGTACCCAAAGTTCTGCAGCCAATATGAATTCTGGCTATGACGGTTTTTGGTACTTCCAGGAAAACCCACAAACTTCTTACGCTTGACAGTTCTCCCAAGCCTCAGTAGGTCAAAGAGGTCCCGCACTTTGACGAGTGCCTTCGCAGTTGGGAGATGTTGCGACATGCACCATGCATGAAGAAACCTAAAGTGTTGGAAATAAGCCAGGGTACTTATTGCTTACCACTGTACGCCCCCCTTCTGACCGCAACACTCCTGCGCAATCATCATCTCATCTGGCAAACAAGAGCTGCATCACGGTCTGCACCATCATCTGCCACATTAGCATCAGTATTCGTCGCCATCATAATCATCACCAACTGCCTGTCATCATAACACTGGTATCATCAGCCCAAAACTCTTCAGTCAATGCAAGAAGAACCCGGGCAGCAGAAGGCAGTTGCAGCAACAGCCACGACAGCGGACAGCCGCCGCGGAAACCACCAGCCCCGCCCCACATGCACCACTGCCAGCATGATGCGCGACAGAAACAGCCACCACGGCTACCAAGAACTAGCAGAATACCAAAAAAATTATCACAGTATTTTGGCAAACGTCGCCCTTCCTTCATGATCACGCGATCATCCGAGTTCCGTCGCAGCTGCAGGGCCAGCAACACCTGGCCAAAGCATCCTCCCCGCAAGGGTAAATGTTCTAGGTTCAAGGAGGTTGAAGGCAACAAAGAAGAGCGCGCAGCTTGATTGAGCAGCTTGGTCAAGAATTGAAATTCCAAATGCTGCGCATTGACCGCCTCGGCCCGGCTTTAGTAGGTGTAGGGCCACTAGGAATGTGGAGGGATATTTACGCCTTTGTCGGTGGATGCGGGAGGATCTGTAGCCGTGGCCGAATCAGTCACAATGCCCTCTCCCTCACGCCTGCTCAAGCCCGGCCGAGGCTGGACGCTTCGGGTTCATGATTGGAGGTTCGTGTAGACATGGAATAATCAGAATCTTGGCATGTTTCAAGAAACTCAAAGACAGGTTCAACTAGCCATTACTTTGATCTAGAAGTTGTGCGAGCCCCGCCTCAAACTACAAATTGCATTAGGAACCCTATTGGAGACGACAACGGCGGTTGGATCAAAGACGATGTTCACGCTGGTATATTATGGTTACATTCAGAGTTAATTCCAAGTTCAGCAACTCAACATCATGGGTCTAAGTCAGGGTGAAGTTGGGAATGCTGTGGAAAAGAGGTAATTATGGAAACCAGAGCAAGGCATAGCACAAGGCTCAAGCTGGGGCCTACATGGGGGCCTACGGCTTATGTAGGGGGCTCTACCATGTATTATTCGGCCATTGAGTACATGCATGCCGATTTGACTTGAGGTACGAGATCCCATTAAGGGATCTTGCGGGCGGTTTCATGTCGGCTCGTAGCCGGTTGTGATTTCCAAATCATTTCACGGATTAGGTATGGCGCTTGTGATCTTCTTCGGGATTGAAGCAAGGCTTCTAGGAAATGTCTTCAGAGGTTCAAAACTATAACACGGGAAAGTTCTGGACTAAAAGATGATGATTGCGATTCGGCTCCGAGCTATGTTGAGGCCTGGAAGGATGTTATTTGGAGTACAGTTAATGTTTATGTTTACAGGTAGGTTTGAAATATGACAGGCAGATTGGGCGACTGCCTTAGTCTATCTTGAGGACTCTGAGGAGATAATCTTGATTGTGCGAGAACTGGTACAGGATAATTGTCATGCTCCCTTTGAAGATTCTGATATGACAGGCTCTGTTACAGAGTGCTCGTCATGCAGAACCCACATTTGAGAGACTATGTTCATGCGGCCTTGGCCCGAGCGGACAGGAATTCTCCACAGGGACCTCCTGCTGCCCTAAACCCTCCCCCACGCGACGTAGCCTGCATGTTTTTGACATTAGTAGGTTTTCAAGCCGAGCAGTCTCCATGCAGCACTGGGGATTCCAGGTGGCGCAAGTTTTCGTCCAGCACAATGCCTAAATGTGACCCTCGAAACCTGTAAAATCTCGAAAGCCTTCATGTACCCCTACCGCAGCCCCTTACTGAAATGTCTAAGACAATCAATGAAAACACGAAGCACAAAAACAGCCTTGGAGGTACTTGTTTGCACGCACTCCTGGAGTTCCATGAAAGCGAATAGAAAGAGACCGTGCTTTGTGAAAACGATGCACAACAAGATTTCATAAGGATTCAAAACACACATTGCTTACCATCCTGAAAAGGTTTACATACTTATTATGGTGATTGAAACATGATGCTTGGTTTTCTGACCTGACTATGGCATGAAGCTCGCATCTCTCCCTTGGAGACATGCCTGCAGAACGTCAAGGCAAAGATCTGGCAAGAAGGGCAAACTGATGATCATAACTATGGTAGCTACTAACGGCAACGAAGATGGTGATGGCGGTGGTGATGTGATTGAATGGCTGTTGTTGCGGCCTCATCATGCTTCCGCACGATATCTGCAAGTTGTCTGCGGGCCAGAAGCGCCTCCTCGATGGCAATCCCGATTTAGGCTTAAGAGGCGAGGAGATTGGAGTTTGCGTTTGGGTGCTTTGGGTGATTCCTTTGGGGAGCTAAGGCTTCAGGGCTGATTTCTGGGCTTCGGAGACGAAAGCTTAGGGCTGGTGGTTCTGAGGTTCAGAGTTTGTAGTTCATGGAGGCTTGAGGCTAGATGGGAGGCGTCAGCCTACCAAGCAACATCCGATTTAACATTCCTGAAGAAATGCTCCACGAACTGGCTCAGGCTTCTGCTTACGCCGATGACCTTTGGTTGGCATTCCCTGCATATTCCAGTGAAGATAACTCCTTGTCAAGCCCAGAATAAGAACCAATATTAGATTCCTAGGGAGGAGACTCTCCTGTTCAACCCAAGTTTCAAATTAAGCCATTAAACAGAAATCCTAAACTTTGGTGGCCTCCACGCCCCAAAACTCGGTGAACCATCAAGCTTAAAGCCTGGATGTCCCTGTCTTCTCCCAACCTTTAACCAAACCCTGCGCGCTCCCACGTAGGTTCTCCGGGGAGCTTGTTGCGGGGTGTTGAGGATCGCCAGAACAGGAGTCTTTCAATGTGGTAGTTACAACACCTTTGCAATATTGACAGAGTTGTGTCGATGTTGGCGGCAATCTTGCACCTACAACTTCGAAACCTTACTTTACTGCAACAATCCACAGCAGCACGCACGTTTTGCACAATGTTGCTTAAGTAGCATCGTGTGTATGATCTCTATGTCCGATGAAGTGTGGCGAAAATTCACATTGGTGGACGTCATCAGAGTTTCGATAACGAAAATACAGGATGAAAGTCTCAGAACACTCACCGTCAAGGCGAGTTCTAGCACACAAACACCTCTTACGGAGACTTGCGCGCACATTTCTGGAACATCCCACAGGTTTGCTTAACGCCTTGTTTGGAAACGCCACATGGGCTTGCTTTGCTCCAGCGCAATCAGGCTCTAGAGCACAGATCTGCAGCATGCCGCTGAGACTTTTGAGCCGCTTACCAGAAAAAAAAAGCGGTTCAAAACGAAGACAAGCTCACCAGGAGCTGCCTGCTGGAGAACCCCACCGGGCGCATGAACCCTAAACCCGAAGCCAGATCATGGTTTGCCTCAGGGCTGCCAGGCGGAGGCGGCGGTGCTGCGACCACCCGCTGGGGTGGCTCGGGCTTCTCCCTGTTGAGGGCTTGGGGTTTAGCTTCTAGGGCTGAGGGCTGAGAGTTTAGGGTGTGGGGCTCGGCATTTAGGGTCAGGGCTTGAGCCCAGACGCTTGCATAAAGTTGAGGCTGCTACGCCGCTACGCGCTCCATCATTCGAGTTTGGCGGTGACGAATTTAGGTCCAGAGACTGTCCGGGTTGAGGGTTAGAGGTGTCAGGATTGTGCTCGTCTTGAAGAAAACTTTGGGGAGAAAGGGCTTCAGGGTTTAGGAGGTAGGGGTTGCCGGGGCGCGCTCTTTGATGCTGCAGGGTTAAAAGTGTCAGCGTCGAGTGTATTGTTTGGACTTGGTGTCTTGAGATGCCTTGAGACTTATAATTCACTGACGAGTTTAGCTTTACATGCTGCGGGCGTCTAACGCCTGGAATTTTGGCGTTGCATGTGTTGCAAGAAATGCCAAAGATTATCCTATTGGGGTGTCTGCCCTGAATCACGGAGAGAAATCCTAAGCCGGTCTGCGGAATACGCAGCTTCAAAGGTTTAAGTGGTTCTGAGTTGCATGTGATCCTTGGGAGCCTAGGAGAAACTCGATCATCCCTCACAAACAGTATAGGTCTAGCCACAAGCCCTTCAACTGCCACCACCCCTAAAACCTAGAATACACCCCCATGGACAAAAACCGCCTAAACCCTGAAAAACGTAAACACCAAAAACCCGCAACGCCCGAAACCCCAAAATGAAACTAAGCCCCGCACACATCACGCATCCCTCGGACCACAGGCCCGCTAGGCTGATCTCGCCATGCCACCAGACCGCAGCAACAGCCATCCCAAACCCTGCCCCATAAAAAAGAATGTTGGGTTTGGGGGTTTGGGAGTTTTGGGGTTGGGGCGGGTTTATGGTTCAGGGAGCTGCGGGGTGCGCGTCAGGCCATGCTGGAATTGTACTTTCCACTGGACAGCCGTGGAATCTGTCTTCAAGTCATGCTCTCGGTGGCGGTACCTCACACATCTTGGATATCTTGCCTTTTTCGCATGCTCATGACATTGTAGGAGCTTCCTTAGTTGAAGAATCTTGGAGATTCTGGGATTGGCAGATCTGCATTTTCCGGCAACCTGAAACAAATGGAAAGCCACAGGCTGCTTAGCGCTGGCCAATGTGCCGATTCCATGGACTGTCTTTGACCTTGACCCACTCAAAAGCTGCAGCAACCAAAGCACTATGACTATCGGCTTTTCCATTCTTCATATCCCTCACATCCCTCTTACCACTACCAACCCATGCCGTTCTTCTCACGTCTGTTGCCGTTGCCAGGGAACTTCTTTTGTCTGAGCAGGACAGCACGACAACCTGAAACTGTGCAAAGGAATCCGTGATTTGCACTTGTGGGTTTTGGCCTGCGGCTTCAGGCTTTGGGGCCGGGGCGTATTGAGGGGTTAAAGGCTTTACGGTCAAGAACTTGGGGCTGAGGCTGCTACACCTGCTCCATGTGACCGAGTTGGCAAAGAAGTTATGATGACCACATGGACTCTTGGATCCCATGCAAGATAGCGACTTGCAAACCTCAAGTGAGTCTCGAGCGGTCGCCATGAAAATGTCCTCGCTATCCCCACACATTTACATGTGTTATGTTGTGGTTGTGATCTCGAATGAGGTCCGGTGTTTCTACCCTTTGCTCTTCTCTGCTGCTTCTTGTTGCGAATTGGTTCTTCTACCGTTCCGGAATACGATTCTCACGTTTCAGGGCTCTGGTGCGCTATCGGTTTGCAGCCACCCTAGGCTGCAAGAAGCTATTGTGCTAGCCTGCATTGCGCGAACTCCAGAAGTAATCACAGGCCTGAAGGAAAAGCCATGTTCAAGCGCAGGTGTCATCATTCTACATTGATGGTATTGCTGCTGCTGTCGTTGCTCTGCACAGGTACGAGGCCCGATGCAAGAAGCTCTGTAGACTCTGCACCTCAACAGTTCTTCTGCTACTTTGTCGAGGGAGCATCTCCGAATCGTTCAGTGTCGATGCATGGTGCAAGTTGTACTCACCTGACCCTGCCATTTTTCTTTGGATCGATCAGTACTCCAGCTTGCATACAGTTACCGGTCCTAGACTAGTTGCTGCGGATTGGTGGCGGTGTCCTCCAACTTTGAATTCATTAGCATGAGTCTTGGCCGTCAGCCCTAACAAAGGGCAGAAGTGTGCACACAAAGAGTGACATTGTCGAGGGAGTCATGCGAAAGCCCTTGCGAATAGGGGTCCCTGCATCAATATGGGGAGAGAAATCTCTCCTTACTCAAATTTCCATTCTGCTTCAGATGCTCTTGTTCAAGCCTTTTTGATGACAAGGCCCGGCCTTTGGAGCCCGCCAACTCTGAGAAGTAAAGGTGTGAAAAAAAGGAACCGAAAACAATCTTCGCTTGGTCCTTGCATTGCCAAAGCTGGGAGAAGCCTGCGAGACAACAATCTTAAGTGGAGTCATACGAAAACGGGAATATTCCTACCGTTCCCTATCTCATCTCTTACGTCTCCCCTGCCCTTATTCAAACCTCTGGCGTGCTTCCTTGCAATGACCATGTTTTAGGAAGTGTCTCGCGTCCGGTCGGCTTGCACCTCACCCGAGGAATGGCTGCTTCCTTGGCTTGGAAAAGAATGCCAATTTGAGGACTGAAAGCAGTCGTTCTTGTGATCTAAAGGAAGCGCGAGAAGTGTCCATAATTTTGCGGCCAGAAGCCCCTTAACTTGTCCTAAAACGCCATTGCTGGGGTAGCTGCTAGGTAAACCTTCTGGGGTGATTGCCACGATCTCCAAAATACTTTTTCAGAAATCCTTAGGTCAAGCAAACTTAGACCCTGAAGGCAATCCTGGAACCCCTGAGTTGTCCACATCTCCCGTGCTCGCGCTGGTGCTGCGAACCTCTTGATTCCCAAGTAGGCCATGGGCCTGGGGACAGCAGGTGCACAAATTATTCCGATGCAGGGATCGCTTCAATGTTGAATCTAGAAGGTATTCTCATACGGTTCTGCTCCTTTTGGTTGCTGGTAGTATTGCTCAACACTGTCTTGGGAGAGATTCACAACGAGAAGTCTTGAGCTACACCCAAAAAAAAGCAAGCCAGACTTGTAAGCTCCCAACCCAAAGCCTCAAGCCCATACTCCCAAGCCCCTGTATGTAGCCCCAAACCCATGCACTGCACACTCTGCACGTTCACCCCACCTTCAAACCCAAAATGCTATGCCCTCAACCCACTATAGACATACTGACATACATGTATATTGATGTATATAGACCAAGGCCGGTGTTCCCCCAAAAAGAGGGCCCCAAGATAGATCCTAATACCCTATAACCCTTATCACAGGTGCTGCAATAAATATTTGAGAGCCCCAGACATGCATCCGAATGACTGTGAAGTCCAGACCTTGGGATGCAAAGCTCTGAGAGCTGGACGCCAGGCAAAAGACCACAGCTAGGCATCCGATCTCCCTGAGCACTCCCGAAACACCCATGGAGAGCTTAGAGGATTCCAAGTAAATTCAATTCATGTGCCTGCAGGACTGACTGCAGGGCAGTAAAGATTGGGGCCACTAGAATTTGGTATGTGGAGCTTGGGCATCTGAGCCGCCATTGCCAGGGCTTTCCTAAACAAATCGCACCGTCAGCTCTGGTTGGGTACAGGTGGGGCACCTTGTGCGAGTTGGACCAAAAGTTCCGAAAGCCTCAGCAACTTCCTGGGAAGCAAGGGGTGAAACAAGCAGAGACTCCATCCCTCAAACTGAGCAGCTAAGGGCAGCCTGTGGGTCCAAGCACACATGCCAAACATAATGCCTAAAGCCAGACAAGACCCTTTTCCTACACTTCAAACCTGAACTCTTCAAGCCTCTAGCTGCCTTCGAGTTCGGGCAGCTTCTTTGCGGCTTGGCTTAGTAACCGCTTAAGCCTAATCCCGCCAGGATCAATGTCCAAGATCCTGGCCGTCCTTTTTCCGGGAAATCCCACATAGATAAGGCATGCGCGGTTTTGCAGCAGCATCACAACTATTATTCTTCTCAGAGCGTGCACCGTATCTTTACCATCAAAGCACTAATTTCCATTTGCTATCTAAAACCATCGTGGCGTTAGTTCCTGCCGTGGTCAAAGGCTTGCAGGGCCAAGCATGTGCCAAGCCTGATGACACCCTCAAACCTAAACAAAACATCTAAAACTGGGACCCTGAACCTATATAGCCTTGCACCCTACAGCCAAGAGCCCCATTCCCTACACTCTAAAAATCTGAAAATCGAGCCCATGCAAAATCCCATGGAGTCCCTATGAGCCGAGGATGAATTCACCCAAAATGTCAGAGCCCAAGCCTTAAACACGGCTTTTTCCCACAAAAAGAGGAACCTAAAACCCAAAAGGATGAGCCCCTAGCTGACCCAAAAGTTTGTCAAAACGACAAAATGGTGAAGAAGGACCCCCATCATCCCTCAGGAATCCCCATATCTCCCTAGTAGCCTAGGCCAAGGGCTTGACATAAACCTAAGTCAGGCCCAAGGGCCTGTCTCTGGAAGGGGCTGGGCTTCCTTGCGTACTCCAACTGAGCTCCTCCTCCTCCTCCACCTGGCACTGGGAAGCAGTTTATGGTTTGGGTTGTGCACAGTTTAGGAATCATTGGGGTTCTCAAAAGATGACATACTTGTGAATAGAAGCATTGGTGACGGCTGGTCTGCAACAGCAGTATCCGAGCAATCGCTGAAGATTCGGAATCTAGGGCTTGATCTGAAAGTCTGATGTTAGACATGGTACTTGGAGAGTTATAAGCAGATAGAGGTAGTTGGAAGTCAAATTCGAATTTGGAGCACTTCTACCCACTTATCATTACCCATGAGAACCCCAGAACCAAAAACTTTGCGGTCGCGGGGTTAGGGCTCAGGATGTGCGTCTCTCTCACTCCTTTCTTTCATGCTCGGCCTCAGAACAAGGAGCCCTTGTCAAAGGGCTTCTAAGGCTATTCGCAGGAGACCTGCCATGCTGAGAAGAGGCCAGAATTTGACGCCCGCAATGGGGCAACAAGAAGAGCCGATGACCGAAATACTTGCCATCAGGCTTTCCCTGTCCACTATCAGTACCAGAACAGTACCAGAAAAGTAGCTTCTTCATCTGTCAGGCCTTCTAAGAACTCTTGACTTGTGTAACTCCTTAAGTTCGGAAATAAGCACTTTCAAGACCTGAGCGGCACGTGCTGCAAAGTCTGTGCAAGCAGATTCTTTGATCAGGCACTTAAACTTTCACAAGTCGGGTAGGAGCATTGCCGCTTCTGTCACTTGCTTTTGCTACCGGCTGCTTTTAGTTGGTAGGACACAAAGATGAAGTAACCCAAGAATACCTTACGCACGTTGCACACGGTTCTCCCAAGGTGGAACTCGCCCTTGCCTTACCCTTGCCATCCTGTGGCCAAAAGTGTCCGGCAGGCTGCGAGCTTCTCGTGGCACGTCGACGCAGCAAGCTCCATCCACATGGCCTCAAGAAGACATATGTAGACTGTAGGAGGCGTGGGAAGCTCAGACAACCTTCAGAAAGCGGAACCTGTGTAGCCGGAACGATCTTAATGCTCGCAAGAAGACTGAGAAAACCCTGACAACCATCCTGCCACAAATATCACCACTGGCCACCAGCAGCAGTGGCAGCGGCGGCAGCGGCACTACCAAAACCAACCAAAACGGACGAAGCAAAGCATTGAACAACAGCGCATGAGTGGGACTCTGTGGCACGTGTCATGCTTAGCATGTCCTGTTGTCTGCTTCTTATGTGCAGGTGCTGGAGTCAGCGCTCCCACTGCCTGACCCCAACCCTCACCGTGAAATCTTGTAGAATTACCAATGGATTTCACAGCCTATGTAATCTGATCCCATTGAATATTTCAAGCCCTCCAGCCGTCCTCAGAGCCCTGCTGAGGCAGGGTTGAAGACCCACAGATCATTCAGCGTGGTCCTCTTTGTGGAGCCCGGAAGTGTCTCACCTACAACAAAGGAGGTCTTAGGATTCATGGGGATGAGCGTCGTGGCCTTGGAGCTTGGAATTAGAGGAATACTGGTAGCACCGCTAAGATATCGGACAAACAGTTCCACTATTACTCATCATCAACAGCATCTGTAGCAATAGCCGGTTTGACCGCAAGGTAGGCAGCATTAGGCAGCTCTACACAGCTTTGGTGACAGAGCCTGCGAAGACTGCCAGATGCTGAGCCCCTTGATAAAAGATGTCCGACCTGAGGCTTCGGGAGGCTTCAGGGTTTGGGGGTCTTTGGGGTCAAAAAAGGGCTTAGTCTGCGGAAAGGATGCCGCCCACGACAAGCAGACTCAGCGATGCGGGCCCCTTCTTAAAACTCGGGATCCTCTTGCTTTTGAAAACACACGGGATCAATGTGATTCTCGCCCTCAGCTTTAAACGACGCTGCTTGCTCGCTTCACTGTTGTGGTCATTTGCGGCTTTTGGGTCCCGAGAACCCTGGTAACAAAGCAGCAGCAACAGCAAATGCAGTCTTACAACTAAGGATGTGCAAATCCTTCTGGAAACTGATGCATGGGTTGGTGGGGCTAGGGAGGCCTAGGGTCTAATATGGGCCTTACGGGGGGGGCCTTTCCAGGTCCTCCAACATTTCCTGCAAGGTGATTCCGCTCAGCCTGATATTGTTTGGCTGGCTGAGGTATGCCTTTGATAGATGATTGGGTGTCAAGGGAAAAATGCAGAAACACACGTGATCTGCATTGAAAGGTGAGGCGTTGAATTGTTGGAGAGTGTCCAAGCAAAGCCATCCTTCTTTTGACAGTCCTGTTCGTGCAGCCTGTCACTTGTGGCTGGCTATTGATTCCAATAGGCTATTGATCATCATCAGTCATCATTTGATGACTGCTGGTTGTCAGCTTGCCTGTCATCCCTGTCATCCCTTGATGACTCACTCTTGCCAACCTCGGGACGCAGATTCGCATACATTGGAATCCATCACTCATGTCTCTCATGGACAGTGTGCACTGTACTTGTGGTGAAGTCAAGCGCCAAAGCAAAAGGCACTTTTTTGAGTCTTCGCCAGCACCCACACAGACTCATGAGTTCGTGAACTTTACAGCCCACTGCAACATCAGCGGCTAGCGCAATCTCATGCCTGCAACCTACCTGCATTGAACTCCATCTTAGGTTGATACCATTTGGGATTCTTGGACGGTGCTATTCGCAAGCTGCAGCTGCAGTTGAGAAAGGCAACAAAAGGGATTAGTTGCAGCTTCTAGCATGTTGGCTGCTGGCTTGAAACACCTATGCGTGAAAGCTTCTCAAGCAGCCAACCGAACACCGCACACCTAGTACAAAATCAAAATTAAACTCATGACTCATGCCAATGCCAATGCCAATGAGTCATCTTTGGCCTTGACCAAGTTGATTCATCACTTCATAACATCACTTGCTCCATTGCTCGAGTGGTTATGCATGTGACATTGGAATTAATATTGAACTTCCACCGACTGCTCTCGCAAAGCCTGTTCACTTGATCAAGTGGCGACACTCTTTTGGCGTCTTCAACATGAGCATTGTGCCTGTCATGCCACCATGCTGGTCACTTTTCTTGAAAGTGTCAGCAATGGCCGCGCGTGCTCCTACGAAACACTTCGTGGCTGCTTCCTTGTTCTCCGAATCCTCAGGCTCAGCCTGCGCTGGGGCAGGAGCCGCAAAACCGGTGCTGCTGCCAGGACATCTGCGGAACGCTTCTTTGATGGTTTCGCAGTCTCGCCGGGCCTCATTATGCAGATATGATGATAACTTCACAACTTCATGACCGAAACCTGCACCATGCCATACAAGACGCTTAATCAATTAGTTTCTTTGCCTAGACGCAAGGGACCACGCAGCAACTTCACAATGCCGGAGCCATCGCCAGCAAAGTTACCCTCAGACCCATCAGACATCAACACAAAGCAAAGGGAGTCATTTCCTTCGAGGATTGGGTAAGACACCGTCACCTTCTTCTGAACAGATTTCTCGCCCTCATGAATCTCGAAGTTGAAGGTCATCTCCTTCGTGCTGTACCACAAGTTGGCAGCATTCTGGCTTGGCGCAACAAGCCACGCAGGACAAAAGAGCGGCTGCTCCAAATCATTCATCGCATTGACAGCCCACGTGAATCCACCTCAGCTCCCACCATCTCAATAGCCAATAGCTGAATTCGTAGCACTGCATCCCACGAATGGCCACATCAGATCACATCGCATCACACCACATCAGCGGACACATCACTGAACACCAGCCACTGACCACTGAAGACTGACCACTAGACCGAACACATCACTAAACTTGGACAAAACCATCACACCACATCAGCGGACGCATCACTGAACACTAACCACTGGCGACTGACTACTAGACCGAACACATCATTAAACTTGGGCAAAACCAAACCTAGCATATCTCATCTCATCATGACAACATCGCATCATTGCATAATCAGGCCATATGACCTCCCATCCCATCCCACAACTTCACGTCATCGCAACAAATTCAGCTTGGCATGACATTGACGTTACAATGACTTTGGACTGATGCTAAGCTTCATGCCATACGGCTTGCCGTCCACTGTCACGCGCAATGGAACCTGCAAAGCCAACTTGCCTGGTCGCAACGTTGGGGTCGTGTACTCACCTCAGCAAAAAATAGAGGCACTAGCAGTCAGTCAGTCAGTCAGTAGCATGCGCAGACGCACAGGATTCAAAATAACGCCTCTTCTGCCAAGATTCACACCTCTCCGAAAAACATCAGCTGCATCGTCTTCTCGACTTTGAACATCTTCGTTTCTGAATTTGCAGAATGCTCGACCATGCACTGTGGGTCATCAATCTTGAGAACCAACTCGCTGTTATGCTTTGCTCGACCCTTCGCATCTACGGCAACAAGGGACACCTGCACATGCAACTTGTCACGGATGTTCTTCTCCAGAACACGAGCCTGTCGCAAAAGCTTGTCCTGAATGGTGAGGCGCAGGCTAGCCAGGAAGTCAGCCGGCGGCGCACGTTCTCCCGACCCAAAACTGAACAACCTGGCGACACTGAACAAACTTCGGGTCTTCTCTGCATCATCCTCCTCTGTCTTGTCAGGAAGCAAAGAGCTGCTGGAGGTTGATGCCTTCATGGTTTTCTTTGCTGTGCTTGTCACTGGCGTTACCTGACAATCTTTTAGCACACCAGCAACATCAATGTTGCCTACCGCAATGAGGTCCTGTATCATCGAACTCCAAACAGTCAAGAGAGTTGCCTGTCCAGTCATACAACAGGAGTCTACTTCGCCAAGTCGATCCTGAATGTCCTTGTCCTCAAGGGCCTGCCACAGTTTGGTCAGCTCCCTTGCGCTTGGCTTCAGCATGTCGCAAAACAAGATCAGGATGTAGCAGCTTCTCCTCTGCAACAGAATCATAGCTTTCTCAGCGTCCAGCTCCAATGACGCTAGCTTCTCCCCCTTGACTGGCTTAGGGGTCGTCCATCCTGCGCAACACAACAACACCAGAATTCATGTTAGAGAATTAAGCTACTGCGTTCTCTACTACTACAACGCTGGCTCTAGCATTTTACTCTGCAACAGGGACAAACTTTCAACACACACGCATGACCCAAAACAGCATCACACGCAATGGCCTGACGAACACAAGTCCAATGCCAGGTTGCCGAAGCAGGTCAACCAGTCGCCAAACACGGCGAACACTGCGACGACGATCTCATACAGCACGTCATGCAAGTTGGGTTGAGCACAATGCCAGAAGCAGCTTTCCATCCGAACCTTCGCAGAGTCGCCATCTGCTGCCTCATCGGTCTGGCACGCGCATGTCTCGCTGAAGGATTTGAACAGCCTGTTGAATGTTGCGTGAGCCCTGATGTCCATAACGTCCCCGTCACTTGTCAAAGGGTCTACGGCTTCGGAACTGCACCACTTCAAGACCTGGTCGGCCATGTTCTCCAGCTTCTGCGACGCACTGATGCTCTCGTCCGCATACACCTCCTCATATTGATGCTGCAACTGCATGGTCTCCACTTTGACAGCGGCGTCGTTGCTGCCAGCAGCGACACCAGTCTTGCGCTGGATGACCTTCCAAATTGAAATCACTCTACTTGCACTTGTACTGCAAAACAAAACTCACAAAAAACACCATACTATGGACTTAGGTTTTATGGGTTTATGGGTTTATGGTTTATAGGGTTAAGGGCCTTGACCAAATGCTCAGCAGCCAGCATTTGGAGTGCCGGTCTCACTGTAGACCAGCGCCTGTGCACCTTACCTCCTTTGGCTGTTGGCAAGACGACCTCTCCCTTGAAAGCGAACAAGAGGGACAGTCTCAACACATACCTCTTTGCCTGCGTGAGATCTGCGCTATCCAATTCTGTTGCAAAGCGAGGCATGCTTTGCAAAGACCTCAAGACGTGATTGCAGGCTCTCAATGCGTCATCTATCCACAACTTGTTGCGCACACCCCTACTGACTTCCACGGTAGCTGACTGGAGGTCTGCCTCTTGAGGAAGATTTGGGGCTGCTTGATCAGGGTTGGCCGAAGATTTGCCTTTTGCCTTCGCAGCTTTCTTGGCGGCGCCTGGCTTTGCCTTCGCCTTTGCCTTTGACTTGCTTGTCTTGCCTTTCCCACTGGTCACAACTGACCCTGTCATCATGCAAAACAAGCGCTGGATTGTCTGCTTCTTGCCGATGCTGTCGAAAATCCAGTAAGAAGCCTCCGGGTCATCAAGCTTGGGAACCTCAGATATCACGTGGGCAGCCCTGTTTGAGTTGAGAATGTTAGTTGCAGTGCATATGCGAAATCAAACAGGCAAGAGACACACATTGAAGCCACTTCCAAAAGCAAGATAACCATGTCCTGCTCTTGCACCCCTTCGTACAAGGTGGTCGAGATTGCATTCCAGCAATGATAGATAGTCTGGAATGCGACTGAGCTGGACAATCGCGGGCTCAAGAAGTCGCAAGACGCTTGCATCTCGCGTACCCATTGATTCAAGAAGCCAGGCTTTTTTGCTGCAAAGTGGTGGCACGAGCGCGCTGCTTCGTACAAGTTCCAAACGGGGAAGCACTCTGAAAAGTTCGGGTGGCTCTTGACGAAATTGGCGCCTAACAAACAGTGCAACATTTTTGACAGAGCACTGGAAAGCTTACTCATGAGCATGCAAAACCAACAGCACCTAACCAATGACAGCAAGGTTCACTGAGCTTCGTAATCCCTGCATGTCC